TTTTTTTTCCTTATTATTCTCGAATTTTAACTCCCCAAAAACCCTCTTAATTTCTTCTTTTTTTTTCCTTCTTTTGCATTCATAGCAATGGAATAACTTGGCCCAAGAAGTTAAATCAGTAGTAAAAGAATACCCAAAGCTCCGACTAACCCCAGGAAGAAAGGTTTTTTTTTTCCTCTCTCTCGTATCTCTCTCGAATATTATAAAGATTAAATTAGCTAACTAATTCTGTTAATTATGATGTTAATTACAGGTATTAGAAATTCGTCCGACCATCAAGTGGGACAAAGGGAAGGCCTTAGAATTTTTGTTGGAATCACTGGGTTATGCAAATTGTTCGGATGTATTTCCTATTTATATTGGAGATGATCGAACCGATGAAGATGCATTTAAGGTATCCAATGTGGTATATATTATGTTATTGCAACACTATCAATTAACCAATTAAATCACTTGCTATGTGTTTTTTTTAAGGTTTTAAAGTTTCTTAGTGGGTTTTTAATATGTCTTTTTTTTTTGTTCTTCTTTTTGGTTCATTTAATATTAAGGTTCTAAGAGAAAGGGAGCAAGGCTTTGGCATTCTCGTGTCTAAAATTCCTAAAGACACCCACGCTTCCTATTCTTTGCGAGAACCTTCCGAGGCAAGTTCACATTTCTTTTGTTTTTGACGAACTTTTTATTGTTATTATTATTATTATTATTTTCTCATGGGTTTGAAATGTTATTACAGGTGATGTATTTTTTGCAACGTTTGGTGCAATGGAAGCGACCACCTTTGCTAAGAAGACATTGCAGGGTGTGAAAAGTTGACAGAGAAAAAGAGAGAGGGGAAAAAAAAGGCCACTCTTCAAAGAAATGTTCTGTTTTGGATGTGGGGGTGGGGAAAATTCAGTAAATTATTATTGAAATTTCCTTTTTCTTCGGCAAAAAAAGAAAAAAAAAGGGAGAAGGGAAGTGGGAAAAACAAAAAAAAATTGTAACTTTTTTTCCCCTCTCGACCTGGGTGCCCTGCTACTACACATATCTGTAAACTAACTGTGTTTTAAGGATAAAAAAAAAGCACTCTAACTTGCCAATCTCTCTCAAGAATTATCGATCATCGTTTGAGTTTGTTAAGTTTTTATATTATCAATATTCACGGATTTTATTTCAAAACCAATTAACAAAAAATAATAATAATAATAATCTATGCCTATTATAAACTAACGTCTCAATTACTTTTCAATTTGGGATTGGTAACTAGTATTAAGAAATACAGTTTATTGGTAGACTTATTTAAAATGGCTTACCTATGATAAATAAACTTGCAAACAATTATAGACTGGACATCTTAATCCCGAGTATAGGCGGAGACCCTTGTCAAACATTGAAGGAGAGGACAAGATCAGCTTTTTGGTTTACATGTAGAAGTTTGGATCTGGACCAGAACTTTTTGAGGTGTGTGTGTTTGCCTAAAATGGGGGAATGTTCAGAAACTGAAGTGAAATGAAGCAGTGAGTGATTTGAGTGAGTGAGAGATGTAGTGATGAATGGAAGGCAATGGAGATTGAAACGTGTAAAGAAATTAAAAGTGGGCTGTTCTATTTGGAGGCTTCTCAGAATAATTATGGCATAGAAAAAAGAGATCAATATAATGGCCTTCAACTTTAATTTGATTTTTCCTTTCTCAGGCTGCGTTTCAGAAAGAAGATGCACTTTTGCAGACAACATCATGGCTTCTTCCCCTTTTCCATTTACACCCCAATGTGACTCTTTTCTTTTTTTAGTCCATGAACTATAGTTTAAAACTATAATCAAATTTCCATGGTTAATTGTTCGACTAATGGATAATATGATTTTGAAAATGTATATCAATTGTGTCGAAGCCACGAAAGTTCTGCTAGATATTTTTGTTTTTAACTTTTGATTGGAAATGAGATTCTTTATTAAAATTGGATGGAGTTTTGAGAATTTGATTATCTCGTTTATATGTGAGAGAATGATACTCTCTTTATTTCTTCTTTGACTATAAAATGCTTGATTCTTATTTAGATGGGAGTTTTTGTCTTCTTCTATTTTTAAAGTAAAAATATGATATGATAATGAGCTTTTAATGTAAGAATAAACTTAATAGTTGTAAATATGTTAAATCTTTTTTTAGTTCAACAACGGTCGTTAATCCCTTTGACAATTAATGGTGTGATCTAATTATAGGGTATAAAAGAGGGACCATATATAGTATAATGGAAACGAAATTCCATGGTTTATGGAGAAATTCTTCATTGATGTAACCTTGATTTTGGTGATTGATAATACAATCCTTGACAAGTTCATCTCGGAGAATCTTGAAAAAAAGGATTCTTGCTTAATTGGCTTGCATTTAATTATGTACTTTGTTGTGGCAGAGAGAAGGTGATTCTATTATATTGCATAAAACTTGGCTTACTCTAAATAAAATTCGGTAGAGATTCAAACTTTACAACTTTAAATAAAACTGTCTATACTTTAATTAAATGAACTGTATTCAAATTGACTAACCTTAAACAATTAGGATGTGTATTCCTCGCAAAAAAAACATCTCACATGTTTGACTATAAAAATTTGCATGTGCCATGTTACACCCTCTCTTAATTTGGCTTACTCTAACCATGGAGAGAAGTACATATCTAACCCTAAGTTTGTTAATTAAAGAAAAAGGAGTGGCACTCCTTACAAGAACCAATTAACTAAAAGTGCAAGAGTAGGCCATATAGGCATATGAGTGTGTATCAAATTATTGGAGCCTTGGAGATCAATTATATAGGGTTGACCTAATACCTAGCCATTACGACGAGTGAAAAAAAGAGGTAAAAAACGGTTCGAAACAATAAATTCAAATCTCACAGTAGTAAACAAAGTCTCACATTAGTTAAAGGAAGGAAAATGATCATGGGTATATGAAAAATGACAATTATCTCCATTAATATAAGACCTTTTGGACAAAATAAAAGACAAAGCGGTGAGAGATATATCCAAGCGGACAATATCATAAAACTATGTAAATAATTTTTGAGATACCATTGTTGTTTTAACGGTTTGTTTGTTTATGCATGCGGTTGTTTTTGGCTGGAGGAAGTAATAATAATGGAGGCTGAGTGTGAGGTGAGCCAAGCGTTGGCAGAGTGGTCAAAGGCATATTATTAATTGAATGGTTAGAGGAAAGACAGCAGTTGACATGCAGTGGTGGCTTTATAAGCTTTTTCAGTTTTTATTATTGTTATTATTTATTTTTGTTCATTCACGCATTCCAATGGACCAAATAATTGGTGCCAATACACAGGAAAGATAGAAGAAGGTGATGGGAAAAGCATTGTTTTTTCCACATCAACTTAGCCTCGGCTCAAAGTCGCAGCTTTTGGGGAAACGAAAAACAAAACAAAAATGGTGGCTTTGGCTTGGCATGGCCTGGCCTGGCGTGCTCTCTGAAAGAGAGAGCCCTTTTTTCTCTGCTTGTCGGCCGCCCCTCTTCCATAACATAACATCACACATATCAATGTAATCTTTTCTAGCCTTCTTTTAAGATACAGAGTTTACCAAATTCATAAATTTTTGTTACACAAATTTATACATGCAGTACCTTTTTTTTCCTTTTGGATCATGTCACCCGTGTACCATTTGAAAACATATATATATACTTTTTTTATATTTTAACTTTTAGCTTTGATTCGTTATAGTTATTTCTTATTCGGAAGTACTAAATAAATGAGTATTTGAATGTAGGGTTGAGCATAAAGATTTCGTTGACCTGTAAAAAGTGTTGATAATCTTTGGAGATGTGGCAATACATCTAAAAAATTATTCCATCGTACAGACTCTCTCCTGGATGGATGTAGGAATAGCCAAGTGTTTATTTTAGTTTCTGTAGTTTTAACTTTGGTTTAGTTTAGTCCGATGTATTTTCAAAGTGTTTGTTTTGGTCATTGTGCTTTTAAAGAGTGACTATTTTGATTCTTTGATTTTAGTTTTTTATCTCATTTTTCTATCACAATTTCAACACGACACTCCACTTAATATATTTCTTGAAATGTAATGATGATTTTATATTAAAGGGATTCTGTTATATGTAAAATTTGTGTTCAATTTTTGCAAATAGAGACAAAAATGATCTTTTTAAAAAAAGTATAGGAACCAAAACAAATATTTTAGAAAAATATGGGCACTAAAGTGAACTAAAGTTAAAACTACAGGGATCAAAATAAAAATTTTGAAAGTACAATCACCAAAATGAACCTAAACTGAAAGTAGGGTGACCAAGATACTATTTTAACCTATTTTTTTATATTTTTTATAGTTGATAATGTCAATATTCATGGGTTCCATTGTTAAGTATCCTAAGAAATAAAGGCCTAACAAGGGTTTATAATAGACATGAGCTACTCTTCTCATTACCAATTAGTTTTGAGATGTAACCCCATGAATACTGATATGGTATCAGAGCTCAAAAGACTCAAACGAGCATCCGGTCCAAAAATGGGATTCGGCCAAGATCGATATAATGTGTACCTTACGAATGCATGTCACTAATATATTTGGTTAATTACATTTGTGCCAATTTTGTAAAATATTTTATCATATGTCAAATCTACTAGTGTTTAAATCAAATAAATTGTTTAGATATTCATAAATGAATTAAATTTACCCAATCCATCTACTTAAGCTTTTGGGTTGAGTCTTGATTTATTCATATTTAATATGGTATCGTAATGGGAGGTCCTATGTTTGAGTCCCTGCATTGTCGTTTCCTAAACTTTTAAATTAATATAGCTCAGCAGTAATTGACATGTACTCATTCTCTTGAGGTCAAAATAATTAAAATGATTATTTTTGTAAAATTATAAACTAAAGAAGATATTTTGAATGTAAAAAAAAAAACCGATATTAAGATAAACTCAAAAGTTTAGACATGAAAGAAATTGAACCGAAAGTACTCATTATTGAAATGAGAGAAGTATTAATTAAAAGGATTCACCCTTAATCATTTAAATAGTATGAATGGTTTATTTATTAACATAAATGGTGTTCCTGACTTTCTTTATTTCGATAATTTTTCTAAGAATATAACATCATGTATTGATATTTTCGTCAACATTTTTATAAAATAAGAGAAGCCAAAATTTCTATCAACAATTTTGTTATGAATGTTAAATCAAATGTGGAATAGAGAATTCAAACTACGCACCCTTAGACACAACATTGTTGTTCATGTCTCCCTCGAAATAAAATCTTGTCAATATCAATATTAAAAAAAGTTTAATTGGATGGATATGGAGATTAAGGGTGTCCTTGTTTGTTGAACAGCTGTGAAGAACCTAACTCCTCAGAGTATTTAATTAATTAATTAAACCTTTTATGGATAGTATTATATGTTGATTAATGTGGCTTTAAAATATTACCATTTGCTTTTGTTTTTATTTCAAATTATTTGTACGAATGAAATAAAATAAATTAAATGAACAGGATCTGCAGATCTACTCCAAGTACCTGAATATTAGTAAACAAAGATTCTAAACATAACTTTTGTTTTTCAAGAGCTGGTTTGGAATTTTTTAAATAGATACTCAATTTTTTTGTTAAATTATTATTATGATAAAATGATTTGTAAAACTTTTCTTAAGATCCATT